CGCCGCACGGCCCGCCCTGCCCCCACCCGCGCCCCGGCTGCGGACTCCGCGTGGCCCCGGGAGGCGCTGGGGACCGAGGCTGAGTGTGCGGGAGCGCGGGTGCATGTGCGCGCCGGGAGGTGCCGGTGCCCCGGCTGTCACACACGCATGCAAACGGAGCTTCAGGCCCTGCAGGTACACACATGCACATATGCAGGCACGCTGAGTCCCAGGCCCCACGTACATAGAGGCATATCCACACACACGCACATATGCATCATGCACACTGAGCTCCAGGCCCCATGTAGGCGCACACATGCTGAGCTCCAGGCCCCATGCACGTACAAGCACATGCACATATGCATGCACACTGAGCTCTAGGCCCCATACATACACACACACACATGCACGCATGCTGAGCTCAAGGCTCCATGTACACACACACACACACACACATGCTGAGCTCCACATGCATGTAGAGCTCCAGGCCTTGCATGTGCACATGCAGGCACACTGAACTCCAGGCTCACACTGAACTCCAGGCTCCGTGTGTATACACAGACACACACACACACACACACACACACACACACACACATGCTGAGCTCTAGGCTCCATGTACACTCACACACATGCCGAGCTCCAGGCCCTGTGTGTTACACACACACACATGCGCACACACACTGAGCTCCAGGCCCCAAGTGTACACACACACTGAGCTCCAGGCCCCACATGAACACATACACTGAGCTTCAGGCCCCATGCATGCGCGCGCACACACACACATTTGCACACCCTGCAGGTGCCTGCACTGTCTCCATCTCATGCAGACACATTGATACAGGGAAAGGGGGAGCCAGGCAGGCTGTGCACACAGAGCATCCCTGCCGCCCTGAGCTCCATGCGGTACTCAGCCTGGCCCCACACTGCTCTCTGCAGGGCCTCGTTCCCCCAGTGCCACCCGTGGCGGCATCTCCGGCTTGGCTTGGCCCCTGGCCGGGCGGCTTTCTGATGCAAGGTGGTTCCTTAGCAACTGCCGTGGTGTTCCCTGGCGAAGCGGGGGCAGGGGGCGCTGCACACTCACAGCCATGGGGGGGCACCGGCTGCCCAAGCTCTCCCCTGGCAGCACTGGCGCAGCCCTGGCATGGCGCTGGGGCAGCAGGGAGGGGTGCGGCAGGGACGGTCCACCCAGTGTCCTTGCCCCAGCTCCGTGGCCTCAGCTGCCTGCTCCCAGAATGCACCTGGGCTGCTATGGAGCGGCCGAGCAGATCGATGCTGCCCTTCCCCATGCAGCTCCAGGCGCAGAGACTGGCAGCAGGCAGCCCTTGGCATGGGCAGCCCTGCCCAGGGAGGTAAAGTGTGGGGACTCCTTGGGCTGGCAGGGGCAGAGAAGGCCTTGATCCTTCTGGCCCT